TATTTGATTTTTCTATTAATTCAGAGAAATGACTATTATTACTAAGTCTTATTTAGGAGGGCTTTTAAAATTCACATATTGTATAATATATGCTCATTTTATTAAAGTATAGTATAGGAGTAAATGCATATACATAATAAACGTATTCACTTTTAAAACACTTAAGATTTTATGGTTAAAAAATTAACATTGTGCACAATCAGAAGAGAAAAAAAGATGTGCTATCTCATCACTACCTCTAACATTTTGTTCTCAGTAGAGTATGTGGCTTTATTAACATTTCTGATTAAAAAGGTGAAAATTTACTTGAAAGGAAATTTGGAAAGGGGCTGAAAACACATACCGGCAATCTTTCAGTTCTGGCATTTGGGTCTTTGAAAGTACTGTCTCCTCACCACTTCTACCCCCTAATACCCAAAGCCTCCACTTTTTGCCCAGATAACTCTTGTACATATTTTTGGTCTTAGCTAACATTACTTAAATTGGAAATCTTCCCTGGAATAAGATTTCTGACTCTGTACCATTGTACTGCAACGACTGTCATTTCACTTGCTTGAAATAGCCCACCCTGCACCCTCCACTTGTCAATAAGTCCAGAAAATAAAGAAGACTGGATTGCTCACTGTGCTATACTTTAGGACCTATTACAGTATAGGGCATAAATTACAAGTAGGATACTTAAATGTATGTTGAATGAAGGACCAAGGGTCTGTATGATAAAAACTTGAGTTTTTAAAGTATTACTTGTTTTCTTTGGGGGTTCTAACGGACATTAAGGACTTTTCTCCCAGAAAAAAAAATACACAGATAAAAAATTTTGTATGATTTTTAGGATCAAGGACCCAGGTTTAGAAGCCCTGCACTAGACTATAGTGAACTCATGCCATGAAGTTTCTTGGTAAATAGCCATTTGGCTTCTCTGCCAAAATGCCCTTTGGGGACGTGCACTTTTTTTTTTTTAAAGATGGGCTTCTTTTTATTTTTTAAGATTTTATTTATTTATTCATGAGATACACAAAGAGAGAGAGAGGCAGAGACACAGGCAGAGGGAGAAGCAGGCTCCATGCAGGGAGCCTGACATGGGACTTGATCCCCGGACTCCAGGATCACGCCCTGGGCCGGAGGCAGGCGCCAAACTGCTGAGCCACCCAGGGATCCCCATGGGACATGCACTTTTTACATGAAAACATATGCAGTTCTCCAAGCAGAATGGGGTTATACTAGGGTGCAGTGATATTAATAAGTAAAAGTACATTAGTAAATTTCAATGGGGTTATCTCAGCACCAGATACTTCCCAGTCACTGAATAACAAACACTTTCCATTACATCTTTAGGGGATTTTTCTCTACTTATCTTATTAGTAGAGTATTCCCTATTATATCTTGGCAGTAAAGAATTTCCTATTGAATGGAAAAACCTGATCACAAATCTGCACCCATAATCTGCACCCAGATTGTCCTCTGAGAAATGTGAAGGACTATCAATTTCTTAGTCTCTAAAACTGGACTTTGCATCAAGGGATGTCCAATAAATGTTTCTGATCAATAGACAGACCAAAACACATGCTTACATATACAGCAGTATCATTATTACACTTGCAGATGTTTCATATAAGCTATTTATTTATGCATTACAGTAAAATGCCAGCTATTTTAATGAACAGTAAAGCAAAACATTAAGTACCAGGGACACTGCAGAGTTATGCAATAGCAGCACGTATGAAGTCCACCATCACATACAGTTCTCTACAGTCACCCAAAAATCAGGGTGTCTGTCCAATATATTACTTCTTCCATAGTCTGTCTCTTATTATCTGTATTTGAAAAGGAAGTTTCCAAAGTCAAAAAAGTAATTTCAAAGCTTACAGCTGTGTTCATAACAAGATCATATATTTTATTGTGTTAAATTACTCATCTGAATGCACTGTCTCTTGATATTGGATTCCCATTCTTTAAAAGGTTAATAGGAAAACAAGTATTGCTCGATAACTGAGCAATATTTTTAGCCAATTATTTTCTTACTTATGGTGGTCCAAGGAAGGACAATGCTAAAACATGAATTTAGGCTAATAATGTTCTACTATAGTCTGTCTGATAAACAACTAGTTTAGACTGCTCCAAAAAGTTAGCTATAAAACCAAAAATATACATTAAATTGGTAATGTATTTAAGAATATGGTGCAGCTCCGTGAATAACTATTATACACACAACTAACGTCTCCAGGGTGCTTTACATCAATTATCTCACTTAATCTTTCTAACCTATAGTAAGATAGTTACCACTCCTAACTACCTGCTATCCTCCAGCTCAGCCAGCTGGTAACGTCCCCCTTTCACCCCACGTCTGCCTGATGATCGCTTAGTTATGGTACAGTGTCCAGCCCAGTTTCACTCATTGAACAAAGCCTTTCCTGAACCGTCTCCTCTCACATGGAATCAATCCTAGGCTTCTGTCTTTAGGGGAAATCTACTTACAATCATAGATTTGTAGATTTCCTCCTGGTTTTAAAAAAAGTATACTGAGAAAGAGATCACCTCCTTCACTACCAATAAGCACTGAAACATGAAACAAATGCTCCTATTCCCATCTGTTTAAGGGTAAAGGTAGTCAGAAACTCTGGGTCCAGGTCTACACCATGGGCTGCACAGTGAGAGGCAGGAGGTCTATTTTCAGAAAACAAAAGTTGGAAACTGTAAAGCTTCTATTGCTAAGGACACACAAAATCTACCTTATTGTCTTACGACGGCATATGATGCTTTTTGCCCATTTTCTCTTGTGGGAGTCAGGATGCCTCATTACAGGATTTGTGTGGTCAGAGGTCTTTCCCTCTATGAATCAGCCGTAAAGTATAGTATGAACGCTCCTATGTGCCCAGAAACCGGGGGCTCAACACGGTGAGATTCGTATTATCACTGACCTGGTGATCACTACTTAAAGGCTGAGAGCTAAATTACACCTAACAATTATCACTGGTATTAATATTAAAGCAGACACTTCCTGAGTCCAAATGACTGTTCAGACATCTTGATTCAGCCAGCGGAGCAAGGGAATAAAAGCCCTATAAAAGTACTGCCTTGTTTCCTAGATTGCTAAATCTACAGATGGCTTCCTGGGCCTGGACTTTTATTATTTCCATTTCTAATCATTTGAAATTATCATTTCTCTTGGCTGATTTAAGGCAAAATTCCAAAATTCAGTGACAGCATTTTTCTATTTTCCTCTACATCCTTTTACAATTGATTCTAAGGTGTTGGGAACTTCCTATTTGTCTACTTTCCTTAATCAAAGGACGTGCCACTTAAGAGTCTAGGTTGTAGCCCCTGTACATTTTCCATCATAGATTGTCCCATGAAGGATTCGTACAGCACCACTACAAATGCTTACATTAACCAAACAGCTCACTTTTGCTCACTCCTTGGAATCTTAAGAAACAAATACATATTCAAAGTACTAAAATTATTAAAAATTATTTTTGAGACATTGATACACTGGATTTTATAATTAAGGGAGTACTGTGTTAGTTTCAATATGGATGAGAATATTTTTGAAAACAAAATATGCAAATGAGACGTTCACTAAAAGACTTCTTGGTAGCCTTTTCAAAATGTATTTTTCTTCCCTAGAGCTTCTCAAACCTTCGGAGGCTGTTTTAAACAGTACTGGCATTCTATGGAATTCCAGCTGATGTCTTCCACCCTTGTGCACATTCTTATTCTGAGACTCTTCTGAGACTCAGAGCCAAAGGAAGCTGTCCAACTGACAAACCAATTGTTAAAAGATGCAAAGAGTCTTAAAAACTACTTAAATATTACCCTTAAAGATACACCCGTAATGACTACTTTGTGTTCTGTGATACTAATCCTCTCTAAAACTTTCTCAAGGCCAACCCCAACTGGGAAAATAAAATCCTTTTCAGAATAAAGGGTAAGATCTGAGTCATGGTAAGATTGCAATACAAGGTCAAGGGCAAGGAATCACTTCTCCCTAACCCAATCTGCTATGTGGAATTTACCTTATGCCCTCTATTCTGCAGATATGCCTAAATACCAGGCAGATGTTTATGAAGAATTTCTCATTTGTGAGCATTTGTCTTCATTACTTTAAAGCAAGAGAATAAATACCAGCCAAGAGGCTACTACATAAAAAACAAAAATATCTGCATCTATGCAAATTCTCTATTCTCTCCCTTATGGCATTGAGTTAAGAGAATTACGGGGTACAAGCTGAAAACCCCTGATAATTTAGAAAAGGTTCTGGGAGAAAGTCACAAGTTAAGCGACCACCATGGTCTCAAAAGTACTGACAGTGGAAATTTCAAATGGGTCATCACTGTTACCACAAATAACTTATAAAGAGCAATGGCCAATAGATTCCATGGGTTGGGGTTACCTTATTAATCATGTTTAGCCTTTTCAAAGCATTATCCTTTTTTAAGTGTCCATATTAATTCATAGTCACTGAAAATAATACTGCTTTCTCATCTATAGTCCAAATTATTAGAAAAAGATAGTATTTGTCCAAATATTTTCTAGATATCTAGCATGTTTAACATTATACTCTGATGCCCTTTGGTAAAACATTGAGTGTTACAACTATGTCATGTACAATCTTACAGTCATGCTGTCTTGATCTGCTCTATTAAGGATTACTGCATTTTCTATAATATTTTAGTATATAATCAATATTAATAGCTTCTTCATGATCAATTAGGGCCAAATGTGGTAAGTGACCTCAAATATTCTCCTTAGAGGCTTAAAGACAAAGAGCTCTAAACAGGCACCAGCATCTTTTGAAAGGATACCTCAGGGGGCAGGGGAAAAAAATATTTTTTTCCCTCCGTGAAGTAGAGAAGGGGAATTGGGTGGTAGGTAAGGATGAAAGGTTTTCATGGTTGCTAACAGGTTACGGTATGAGTTCTTCCTGCCTCTCCCTGACCCTCCCAGCCTACTGTAACAATGAGGATGCTGGTGAGATACTAGTGGACAGGGTCTGACCATACCTTCATGGGTAGGCTCTGGGTCAGGTGTAAGTGAGATGTCATCCAGCTCTCGCAGGCAGAGCCATTCTCCGTCCATAGACACTCGGAATTTGCAAAGGTAGATGGTCTCCATGGCAGCCTGTGTGATCTTGTCAGTAGTGGGGGTTGGCATATCGGTTGGAGGCGTCAGAGCAGACATGATGACTCAGCTGGGTCCACAACACACAACACACAACACACACACACGCGCGCGCACACACACACACACACACACACGCACACACACTTACCCCAACAAAAATAAATAAAACCTCCTGCCCAAAAAACCCCAAATCCAAAGCTCTGGAACAAAGCTCTCAAGGAAAGGGGTGGGGGAGATTAAAACAAAACACGAGGAAAAATACCTTACGGTTTAAGAACCAACGGCTCAAGATAAAAAATTCTACACTATCTTGTCTCATAGACAGTTCCTACCACATAGCAAAATAAGAGGATTCCTGGTTTTCTCCTAGCTTCTCTCCTTTGATCTTCCCTTCCCTACCCCCTCCTTTTTCAGCTGAGCTGTAGGCTTTAAATCCTGCACAGCCGATGCCACCTTCGCTGGCTTTAAAAAACTGGCCTCTGCATGAATAAGTGAAAAATCCTCCTTTGTGCAGGAAAAAATACAAAAAAAATACAAAAAAAAAAAAAACCCAAAAATAAACCAATATTTTCAATTTAGCTTAAAAAAATCCTGAACTGCAGAAATCACTTCCAGGATCTGCTCAGATGAGCTGGATGCTGAGTTCTAATAGGATTGGTTGTGCGCAGTAAGCAGGGTGTTGACCAAAATGGCTGACTAATGAACTGAACTGAAAATCCGGGCTCATGTGACCAGCTGCTCCGAACGTAGGGCGAGCAATTCCCAGGATGCTTTATAGATGCTGCTGATGCAGGGAGAGCAATTAGGCTGCTGCTCTCATCCTGTACAACCCACTTCCAGACTGTGCTAGTCAAACTGTGATCAGACATAACACAATGCACATATCCTCATCAATTCCCTCCCTTTGGGATAAAAGGGATGGATAATAGGAGGACAATTAACACTGGGCAATACTCCACAGCAAAGATGATAAAAGAGGCAGATTAATTTAACAAGGACATAATTTGAAAAAGCTAAGGCAGATTTTCAAGTTAAATATCATACTTTCAGGCATTTAAAATTTCCTTCTCCAAGATACAAAAATCTGACTTTCTAGATTGGACAGAAGTGTAAGAAAAAAACCTGATGTTAAAAAAGCAAAATCTCTTCCAATCAACGGTAATCTCCCCTCTTTTGATGTTGCTATATATACTAAGTTTCTGCATAAAGTATGTATTATGTTTCTAATCAGAAGATAAAATTGTTATATTTTTAAAAGTCTCTCATCTTAGACTATTATAAGGGCATATTATCATATTCTCTTAAACCGACCAACCTATTCACCCACCCATATACATATCTATATTATCCAATGAGACATTAATACCTTGGTAGCAAAAAGTTAGGTGTTTGCTTTCTGAGCCACAACAAGGAGATAAGGCATGATAAAAATATTCTTCGAAAATGTTTTTGACAGTTAAAAACAAGTGTTTGTTCTATTTAAGGATCTGGTTTTAAGGAGAAACCTATAGCTTCAAGAAATATATCAAGATGATTTATTATATTCGAAGGGTTTCTTATCAGAAGGATACCTTGATTTCTGAGAACTAAGAGAAGAAAATTCTCCTTGAATATTATAATTGCATTTTACCTATAATATATTTAAATATAATATTAAAATTTCATAAATGCTTTGTCCTAATTTGAGATTGAGCTCACAGAAAAAAGGCTAAGAACCAGACTCTGTAGGTAAGCAGGCATTTCTCATACTGTTAGAGGGAAAGCAAACTGGCACAATGTCAAAATGCATATATGTATATGATTATTTACAATTAGGAAGAAAATCAGCAAGTTACTAAGGAAAACAAAATATCCCAGGTTTATTCATTTCTATTTAAGTCTCTGTCACCATTATCCTACATCTGGACCCAGAGTTACTCATTTATTCATTTACTCATTCAGTAAATATTCACTAAGAGTATTATTCTACATGCCAGGTAGCAATGCAGGCACTGGGCAGGTAGCAGTAAGAAAAGATCACCTTCTCAAACGAAGTAGTGCTTATGTATCCAGATACTGAACACAAAATTTCACTTAACACATTCACATTTAATTACAGGTTGATTCCTTTCTAGCCATACACATTTCTGTCTTACACGTTAAAATTTAAAGGGAACAGTTCATAGCTTCACTTTAAGCTATGCAATACTTCAAAACCTAGTAAGCAGTCATTAAAACCTTTAAATTAAACTTACTGAATAGTTCCTAGAATCACAATGCCAAAGAGCCCTGCGGATCTGTCCATATGACACCAAGATATTCTTAAAATATACAATGGTGAAAACAAAAAGACATGTGAATGCTTTGGGATTCCCTAGGTCCATCAATACCTGAATGGAGCCTGTCACAAACCATGACAATCTTTTTACCAACAAACCAAGAAGCATTTACTAACCCTGAACAGATATGGACTGATTACCACACACTGGCCTAACGAGAACATCTAGGTCAATAAATGAAGAAACTTGGTTAACATTCCTTGCAAAGGTCCTTCTCTCCAGGGAAAAGACACCAGGAAAGAAGCCCAAAGCCAGAGAAAAAACCTTTCTGCATTAGCTATCCTTTAGTTTCCCTTATCTATCAGTTTGAGGAGGTATTAGCAGTCATTTCAGAAATAAGAACTGTGGGAGAGCAGGAAAACCTGTATTTCCACTCTTTACGGCATACTTTCTTGCAGGTAAACACCCTTGAGTCTTCAGCATGAACAGTTACTCATTGTTCACAAGCAATGAATTTATATGAAAACAGACATTATTTGTAGACTAATAAAAATAATTCTAAACATTGTTTAGTGCTGCTTTTACATTTGGGTCTTAACTAGGCAAACATATTAGCTTAGAATGTAAAGGTAACATTAAGACATCAGTGAGACAAACTTTTCTTATTTGATCTTACCTGCGCACAAAGGCACCTATTTGTAAGGTAGTTGTGAGGAGGACTGAGGTGTATAGTCTGTGGCCCTAAAACAGAGCTAACAGGCTTAAGTGAAATTCAAATCCAAGGTGATGATCTGAATAATACTATGTTCTAGCTGCTTACACAGCTCAAATTTTCCACATTGTAATTGATTCAAAGCAAATGAGATTCACATGTCGAAGTCAGAAGTCACATTCTTTTTAAAGAATATTTACTCAGCTACTATTATAAGACAAAGACTGATTTGTCATGCTCAATGTCCCTGTTATACAATATGGAAAAATAATTAAGGTAGTTATCATTTTTTGAGTCTCTATTTTCCTTTTGGTGCTTTATAAATACTGTATCGTATCCTCACGAGAATCCTGTTTGCAGATATTGTATCTCCTCTTTATATATCAAGAAACCAAAGTTGGGCCAAGTAACTGACCCAAGATCACATGAGTAGCAAGCAGCATATCTAGGATTCCAAGATTTGCCTTTTGGAGGGGGAGGGGCAGAGATAGGGGAAAGAGAAATCAAGCAGGCTGCATGCTCAGCACTGAGCCCGACACAGGGCTTGATCTCACAACCCTAAGATTATGACCTGAGCTGAAATCGAGGGTTGGATGCTTAACTGACTGAGCCATCCAGGCACCCCCAAGATCTGTCTTAATGCCCCCAAACCAAAGTCCATGTTTTCCTTCATACGTTGAAATGTCAGCATTCCAACCCAAGGATTAAATTTTACTTAGGGAAAGTAAAAACAAAACAAAAAGCAAAAACAAAATAATACAGGCAACATCCCCCTAAAATTCCCAAATAAAAATTTCAACAAATCTAAGATTTGGGGAAGAGGACATCTTTATTAGCTTTCACACTCTACAAGCCATATATTCCACTTACTCTTCTACATACAGGTCAGATTTATAAAGGTCATTTTCTGAGAAACTGAGAACCTAGCATAGATCTTTCCTGCTGTGTGCTGAAACCAAATTTTTCCTGAAGGATATACTATTTACTATACCTCCACTCAGGAAAGAGCTGGAAATAACCATCCTACCAAGTTCCCTCCTCATCCACTAACTTAGTTGGGCATATTAAGAATACTTGATACGTTCAGAAAAAATAAATGAAGGGGGGAATTATTTTCTAAAATGGCTTATTCCAGAACTTCTTCAAATAGCTCAGTTAACTTCAATGTTTAATTTTTATTCTTAAAAAAATATAACCAACAACCATGAAACCACTGCCCAACTGATGAACAACTTAAATTTTGTTTTCCTTATGAATTCCTGCCTCCCGTAATGAGTCAATTACTTTTGAATTTTGTGTAAATCATTACTTTGCTTTAAAAATATTATGAATATATGGATACTTAATGTATTTAGCTTCATCTTCTTTCAACTTTACAGAAAGGGTTTTATGCTTTATGAAAGCCTTTCACTCAACATTACATTTTTAAAGATTCATCCACATTGTAGTGTGCAGCTATAGTTTATCCTTTTGGCTGCTATATTATGTGTTAATATTTTATTGTATATATAAACAATTTTCTGATCCATTTTCATGCTGGTGAGCATATATGGGTTATTTCTATTTTTTTTTGTTTCCAATGATGTTATTTAGATACTTTTCAGAAATAGATTTCTCTTAGATATGCCACTTCTGTTTTTTTTAAGATTTTATTTGTTTATCTGAGACAGAGCACAAGCGAGGGGAGGGGCAAAGGGAGAGGGAGAGGGAGAAGCAGACTTCTCACTGAGCAGGAAGTCAGACAAAGGACTGGATCCCAGGACCCTTGAGATCATTACCCGAGCCAAAGGCAGACACTTAACTGAGCCATCCAGAGACCCTAGGTATGCCATTTCTTAACAGGTCTGAAGGTAAGAAACCATTTCACTTACTTCTTTTATAGGCAGTTGTCTAGTCCTATTATCTAGTTTCTATTCTGCACATAATGGTGCTTTTTAAAATTTATCAATTTGTGCAACAAGATCAGTTTGTAAAGCTCACAAGTTCTACTTCCCAAGGATTCCTGATCACAGTTCTACAATTACTAAGAAAAATCTCACCCCCACACCCCCCTCATTTTACTAGTTGCAATTAGCATAGAATGGTTTCTTTGATAAATCACCATCATGATGACATTGGTGGAAGGTCCAGATGTTTCTGCTAAATTATAGGATTTTTTTTTCTGAGAGAGATTGAGAGAGAGAAAGAGTGTCTTAATTAGGCTCTATGCCCAGGGGGAGCTTGACAACACAGGACTCCATCTCATGACCCTGAGATCATGGCTTGAAATGAAATCAAGAGTCTGAGGCTTAACCAACTGAGCCACACAAGGGCCCCTAAAATATAAGATTATTCAGTTGAATGATCATGATTTTTTCACATGCTCCAGTTCTTCCCACTACCCTCCGTCTCACTTCCTTCCCTCTCTCAGACAAAAATCTATTATGTCCACCACTGATGCCGAGATTTCTACAATTTTAGGCTTCCATTTGACTCAGTATTAGTTTGTAGATATTAATAGTATCTACATAGTATCTACAGCATTAACTTTGTAGAAAGTACTATAAAATTATACCTGAGAAGTTATCATTATTTTGTTAGAAACAACACCAGAAGTATTATAATGCATAATCTTTTCACTTGTTAAAATTAATCTACATAAGACTAGAGCTAACTCCTACCTTAATGACAAAACCTGATTTCAAGGCTAAGTGGCGGTAGGCAATGATTTACAGATGTAAAGCTGCCAGCAACTTAATAGATGATCTTGGGAAATTTATCGGGCTCCTGTCCTAATTTACTCAGTTATAAAATAAAACTAAATAACTGGCCTCACAAAGATCATGGGCTCCTTGAGAATTTGCCTGCTTTGCACACTTTTACACATCTGCTTATAATAGTACCTACCAAATATCAGAGTCTCAATAGATACTTGGTATAGATATGTGACTCCAAAGCACTCTACATTCTTGCAATGGTGTATTTTCCACCTTCCTGTTTTACCTTAACCATGAAAACCCCCCAACTTTTACCAAATCAAGCTGTATTTATGCCCTAACAAACAAGTCATTCTAACACAGGCTTTATTCGTTTGTACAAAACAAATTCATTCATTTAAGATGCACAAGGCACCTACTATGTGTTAGTCACTCGAGACATGAAGAACAAGGTAACAGACAAACAGGCAATTATAGGTGTTTAAGAAATTCCTAAGACCTGTCACACAGATGGCTATTCAGTGTTGTTTACATATGTAACTATTTTCTCTATCAAATTGGTGACTTATGAATTTCACATTCATTTATTCATTTTGCAATAGGGCTTTGCGGAGTAGAATGAGGAACTGGAGGGTTGCTGCTGTCTGAAAAGGAGCCTTCAATTTAGGATGGGATTCCAGTAATGGGAGATGATGGAGGAGGCTGAGAGCATGTGGACTCTCAGGGTCAGAATACCCACAGTGAATCCCAGATCCACCACCTAGAAGCTGAGTAACCTTGGCAAATTACTTGTTTCTGTGCCTGTTTCTTCAATGATGAATGGGGATATAGTATTAACTTCTTCAGAGTTAAAGGAAGTAATCTAAATAAAATGCTCAGTACAGCACTTTGTACAAAGTAAGCAGTCAGTAAATACTAGCCATTACCATAGCCACATTGACAATTTTGTGTGTGTGTGTGTGGGGGGGAACCACCATACTATCACCACTTGAAGGATGAAAGCTCACCAGACTAGGGTAAAGGAAAGGAAAAAGGAAACGTGACCAAAGGGCATGCTGGGGTATCTCTCAGGCCTTCAGGAAGGAAGAAGAGATGGGTCAGAATTTTACCAAGCATTCGTATCAGGCAACCAGATTTCTTAAGTTCATAAAAAAGGCAGAGGAAACAGATGTATATGTCACTGGAGAGTCCCTAAACCGATTTAGTTAGAAGAATCATAATAAAGTTAGAAGAATAATATTCTAAAAGGCAACATGCTCCAACAACTTCTGCTTTCTACACGCCTCTTGCTGTCAATCTGACAGTCTCTCTTCTATGTTTCATAGGGTTGCAAACTTTCCTACCTCTGTCTCCCACCCCCATGCCACTCCCTTTGACACTTGCTGCTTGTCAAGTCTACCTGGCCTGGAGCAACTAGAGAACCAGTCAGTAACTAAGAAGGGCCCTGCCAACAGAGATGATACCACTCTGGCCAGCGCCCCGCAACTGATGTTCTAGAAAGACTGAATCTTTCACAATTATTCAGATGCAGCTAGAGGAGAGTGAGAAGCACACTGATACTTTCTCAACTACTACTGCTTTTAAAACCCTGAAAGCATTTCCTTTCAAACCATGCTTATAAGATGTTCCTGACTTCCCAAAATGAATGTTATAGCTCATAGTTGAGCCACTTTACAACAATAGGAAGAAGTTTCCATGCTAATAAGGTTTAGGTGGAAATATAATAGTTGTGATTGCCTGCAAAATTCATTAAAATGGGATTCTTTAGGGTGCCTGGCTGGCTCAGCCGGTAGAACATGTGATTCTCTATCTCAGAGTTTTGAGTTCAAGCCCCATGATGGGTGTAGGGCTTACTTAAAAAAAGGGGGGATTCTTTTACTAATGATGGTTACACATTACCTCTGTACTATCATAAAGAGGCAGCATGTCTTTTAGGCAACTCTTTTTAAATATTTAAGGAATTTTCAAAAAAACTAGACAACAAGGAAATACCATTATTTCATCCAGTTAATTGTTACACTCCATCCTCCTCCTCCCAGACTTTTTACTATCTATAACCTACAAAAATATGTTCTTTTAATTTCTTTGTAAGATTCTACCTTTTGAACACAGATTTCTGTTAAAAGTCAAAAGAGGAAAAATACACAAGATAGACTAAGTCACGTGGATATGTTTTGAAGCTAATACTAGTCTTTTAGCCCAAAAAGTTGCTTTCTTTGACCCCTTTCCTCTGTTCTCTCTCAACGAATTTTACTGCCTTCCAAATCTACTCAAGGCCTTGGTGAGGGAGCATACGGTGCTTAAGAACATGAACTATGGTATCACACAATGCAGGAATATGAATTCATTCTCTGACCTTCATTTTTAAAATTGCATTATATATGAATATTGAATCATTATGTGGTTGACACACAAAACTAATACAATATTGTATGCCAATTATACTTCACAAAAAATAAACAAAACACCTCTGGAGACGAGGCCAGAAATCTGTGCTAGTACGACGTCCAGGTGATTCTGATATGTGCCAAAATTTGAGATAAGAACTAACCTAAAACCACAGAATCTGACTCCAGAATGTAAACGTCTAAATCCAAGGTTACCCTATCAGAATTTTTGTATTTTATAATAATTTAGATAAATTACTTAGAGATACTGAATCAAGTAATCTGATGAAAAACATGTTGTATCCCTCTACTTATATGAACTCTATATGGACTACTTTTCTTTCCCATTTTTTTCTTTTTAGTTTCCATTGTTAGAATATTTTTATGTATTGGCACTTCTACCTACTGGAAATTTTAAGAAATAAAAAATCGGTAAGTATCGATATGGGTGAACTTTTTAGCTCTCTGCATGGCACATAAAAAATATTCTATAAATGGCAGCCACTAAGTACCACTATTATCTTACTATTCACATTCTTTATTTAGAATTGTTTGGGTTACAGAACTGTAATAAAACTTCTTCCATCTAATGGAGAGCCTTTTGGACCCTCTAGTATCCAGAATGAAGCGAAGATCAGAAATAAGAAGAAAGAAAACTGTATAATCAATCTAAAAAAAAAAAAAAAAAAAAAGAATCAATCTATGATCATCAAGAGGGGAGCCGTGAAAACAAAGTCTCGAAGATTACATCTGATATTCTGAAATCATTGCTTTGTCAATCAGCGCATGCTCTGACTTTTTGATAATGCCAGGCCAGAAGAGCAAGTAAAGCAAAAGAGGAGGCAGAAGAGAAGGGGGGATGTTGACTGGGAAGATGAGCTCTGATAGTTGAGGCAGCAGTGGTGACAGAAGCCAGCTGGGGAAGGGGAAGCAGCGGTACACAGGAAATAGGGGTGTGACCCAGCTCCCCACGTCCCAGCTCAGGTCCCCACACCTGCAGCGGTATGTGGAAGGGAACCACCTGCGTACTCATTCTTGAGTTCTAAACTCCAGTTCTCTCTAGTTCTCTGGTAGGCACTAACTTACAATTAAACACTATCTGAAAATGTGATATTCCTGAAGGCTTTTTTTCTTTTTTTATGGGTGTTTATACCTGCTGTTTGACAAAATAGCATTTAATGGATCAGATAGTGATTCTTAATAGTTTTTTTTCTTTCTTTCAGTTAAAGCATCCTTAACACAGTTAGAAAAGAGCTGAAGGCTTGTGAATCACAGCATTGTAAATTGAGACAGTGCTCTACATCAATTATACCAAAAAGCTGTCTTTAAAAAAGTCACAACCCCAGCCTGCTATTCTAAAATCTACTAGTATAAAGATGAATGGTCAAAATATTGGGGTTCTGATAGTTCAATCCTATCCTCGGTACCTCTTAGTTTTGAGCAGATGTGTCTATATTTAGAAAATAAAGTATTTTTGTGTTTTCTTAATGTGCATTCAACCCGGTATAATGTTTTCTGGAATACTAGTAAATGATGAAAAGAGAAGAAAGACAAAACCAGAAATGTCTGTGGAAGAGAAATTATGATCAATGAATATATACACACAAAATATATACACATGCACATGTACATCTACATATTTTTTATATTGTGTGTATGTGTATAAACTAGACATAAACCTATTTTTCTTCCCTTACTCTTGCGTTTATACATAAATGAGAAAGATCGCGTCCCAAATAAGGGACTCTTAAAGTGCATCTGTGAGAAAGTGCGTATGTAAATGTCTCCAGAAGCCTCATTCTCTCTGCATTTTCCATGGCTCAACCAAAGTATTCACTGTTAGGTATACTCAACTTCAAGTAGGTGGTCATAGTTAATGCTGTCAGTTCTTTCCACTTTTCTCTTCTATTCTCCTAGCCTCCCCGCTCCCCACCATCTAAAAAACAGCACATACAAATACAGAAAGCTGCTTCTTTGTTGAGTGGGACTTTTTTTTTTTTTTCCGTATACTGCTGTAATTTGAAGAGAAAAGACAAGGGCAGACATGTGGGTTACTTGCATGTCATTGCCTTAAACATCAAGGTTTGCTCTAGCTCTGAGAGTTGGAAGAAGAAATGAGCAATTGTCAATTGAAGTTGATAACTATGCACATAGCAGGAGTGCCTCTTCCCTCCAACACCAAGAAGCCATCTCTTATTCATCTTATCCATCCACGAGAAGACTTTTACTTACTGTTAGGATGGAAAAGAAAAGCATTAAAAGCATTGCACCATGGCATCAAAGTAGCTCCTTCATATACAGTTTGTGAGAAGTTGGTATGGAATGTCATACACCATGGGGGAAAAGGCCTCAAGAAATATGAATATATGCATGTCTGTGAATACATGCAGAAGTTCTGGAAGAAAACTCACCAAACTCAAAAGTGGTAACCTCTGAAAAGAAATGAGGGAGGGAGTGTCCCCCTAAGAGGAAAGTTCACTTTGTACTCAGTGTACTTGTATCATAAACATTTAAACAGTGAGAAGATTCATGTGTTACTTGTTATTTTTATAAATCAAATATTTTTGAAAAGGCATGGATGTTTAAAAGCCGGAAGCATAAAAATTTAGCAGATTAGCACTCGAATGAAAACTCAGAAAGGGACACGATCCAACAAAGCACAACAGAAGCCTTCCTTCATACTGCTTTGCCCATGCGGAGTAATTTAAGGGCATTAGATCTAGCAAGGTTTTGCACTGAAACAGTACACGTCATGGACCCTGAAAAGTCTAGGCTACATCCCCTGCACACATTTTTGCTATTCTTTATCAGTGTCATTCAGAACAAAGCTTCTGAACTCAAAGGTAAATGTTAATTTTTAAGATCCCTGAATACAGTCAAGATTTCTGGAATAAAAAGATGCCTTAGGGATCCCTGGGTGGCACAGCGGTTTAGCGCCTGCCTTTGGCCCAGGGCGCGATCCTGGAGACCTGGGATTGAATCCCACGTCAGGCTCCCGGTGCATGGAGCCTGCTTCTCCCTCTGCCTGTGTCTCTGTCTCTCTCTCTCTCTCTCTCTGTGTGTGTGACTATCATAAATAAATAAAAATTTTTTAAAAAAATATGCCTTAATATACAATACCTCAAAATTATCATACATTATGCACTTTTGGCAAATACATTAGGAAGAGTTAAAAGTCGGGTGTTGAGGAGGCAAATATTCACTGGGTGTCGACGTTGAATCCAAGTACTGTCCTGGTAACTGAAATGAGAAATTTCGTAAAAACGGTTTCGTCTAAGGCTGTTGACTTAACAGCCAGAAGACTCAGAGTTCTGACATCCAAGTACAACATAGGAAGTAATATTGCATTGACTCTGCAGGGCAGCCACAAAGGAATGTTGTAATGAATATACAAGCACCCCTTTTTTCCAAGCATGTGTATGTTCTAAAGTACATATAACAAGGTAAAAATAAAAACTCAAAACAAGAACTACTTTCATCATCCACTACTACCGTAAGGTACAGACTAAAAAGAGATCACAGGTACTATGAAACTTTAGCTTTAAGTTTTCCATTCCTGATCTTGAACATGCTTAGGCCCTAATTTTCCAACAATACTTAAAAAAAAAAAAGAAAAAAAAAAAAAAAGAAAAAGCAGCCAACCTCTTACTAGGGGGGAAGAGTCAAATGAACTAAATTCAGGCAATCCCAACAAGTGACGCCAGCCAACCGTGGAACATTTCTTCTGTCAAATTTTGTACCACAACTGTTAGGGTCATAAAAAAAAAAAAAAAAAAAAAAAAAAAACAGAGAGGAGCGTCTTCACTCCATAGTGATGTGGCTAATAGGCGGATTGCACAGAAATACAATTTCAAGGAGAAAAAAAATGAGGCTGTGCTTAAAGAACAAACTAGAAAGCAGTTTCCTTAGAAAACTGACCAGTGACGTGAACATTCTTATGTCCGACTCCTCTAGTTAAAGGACTGATTTCTACCTTGACCAACTCGGAAACTGTGGTCTCGGCCAAGGCTGTTGGTGGTCAGGGTGGGGGCCTCTTTCTAGGTAACAGGGCAAGGTGACCCTGGGCTAGTGCCTCCGGCCGAACCCAGGGGCCCCCAAGCAAGGAAAAGGACGCGAGCAGCTTGCGGGGTCTGGAGTCGGGCGCTTGCACGGGGAGCGGAGTCTGGGTGGGTCAACGTCCTTCTCGAAGGCTGGTCCTTGGGGCTCATCGCTCATGACGCTGATCCCTTCGCTTTACCTGCAAACGTGGCATCACACCTGTGCCCCCGGGAGGCGAGGATCGGGCCTGCTGACCGCCGCACAGGCGCACGGGGGATACCCCAATACCCCCCTGGAGTCGCCCTTCTCGCCGGGGACGGGCGGGAGCGGGCGGGAAAGGCGGGGCCGCGGTCTGGGCCGTGCGGGGCAGGCGGCCCAAAGGTCTGGTCCGTGAGGAGAGAAACCCCTACAGCCCCGTCCCCGGGAAGGAGGGACGCCCTCGTCGCCGACGCAACTTCCGTCCCCTTCGGGGCCTCGGCGGCAGCGCGGCGGGCACCTACAGCAGAGCTGGCGCCTCGGGTCGCGTCCACGCGTCCACCTCCAGGCCGCGCGCGTCCTGCTGAGGCCGCGTTCACGCCCCGAGCCCCCGCCCCGCCCGCCCCGGGGCCGCCTCACGCAGGCGCCAGCGACCGTCCGCGGCCTCCCGAGGCGCCGCCGCGGCCGCACCGCCAGGTGGAGGCCGCCTCGGGCCGGCGTCCCCGCGGGCGTCCGGGACCGGCCCTTCCCCCGCCGCGCGCCGCGCGCCTCGCGCCCGTCCCCGACTCCGCCGCGCAGCCGGGGGGGGCGTACCCGCGGCGGCCACACCTGCTCGGCGGCCCGGCCGCGGCGCCTCGGGGAGGGCTCCCGGCCTGGGGCCCGGGGCCGGCGAGCACGTGGGAGGGAGGGGAGGCCGGCGGGGACGCGCGCCCGACCCCGGAGCCGAGGGGAGGCCGGCGGAGCCCGCGGCCTGGGCAGACGCCGAGGTGAACAGTCCCGCGCCGGGTCCGCGGCGCCGCCCCCCGCCCCCCCCCCCCCCGGCCGAGGCCCGGTCCCGGTCCCGCCGCCACTCACGGTGCTTGCCGCCGCCGCCGCCGCCGCCGCCGCCGCCCGGTAGCTCAGCAGCAGGAAGGGCAGCGGGGAGCCCGGCGACGGCGGGGTCCTCCAGGCGCGCTGCGGCGGCGGGCGGGCTGCGAAGCCGGCGCCTCCATCGCCCGGGTAGAGCAGGAAGAACGGGGCGGCCGCGGGCGAGCCGGGCTCCGACCGCCCGGCCGGGGAGGCGAGCGGCGGCCCCGCCTCGCCCTCTGGGCCCGCGGCCCCGGCTGCAGCGCCGCGCGGCTCCCCCCGCGGCTGCCGCGCGCCCCCGGCCGGCTCCTCGCCGCAACTTTCCGCGCCGGCGGCGGGCGGCGGCGAGGTCTCAGCCATGCTCGCTCTTGGCGTGGCCGCCGCCGCCGCCGCCGCCTTCCACTGGCCCCCGGGCCTGGGCGGGGGAGCAGAGGGTCGCGGCGGCGAGGGGCCGCCTCTCCCCGTGGCCGCGGGCGGGCGTCTGGGCGCCGCCGCGCCGTCCGCAGCCCGCCCCGCCGGGGCCCGAGCCAGCGGGAGCCGCCGCCCCGCCCGACGGCGCGGTCTCGCCG